CTTGGTAGCCCAGGCTGGCCTCGAACTCACAGAGATCCACCTGCCTCTGCCTCCCGAGTGCTGGGATTAAAGGCGTGCGCCACCACCGCCCGGCCATTTCCTTTCTGTTTAAATGAAAAGGGGGAAAGTTGTGGAATATTTATTTACACTGTGAAGATGTGTCTTTGCCAAGGCGCCTTCTGATTGGCTTAATAAAGAGATGAATGGCTAATAGCTAGGCAGGAAGAGGTTAGGCGGGACTTCTGGGGACAGAGAGGACTCTGGGAAGAAGAAAGGCAGAGTCGCCAGCCAGATGTTGAGAAAGCCGGAAGGGCGGTACAGAGTAAAGGTAACCGAGCCACGTGAAAGAATGTAGATGAAAAGATACGGGTTAATTTAACTTATAAGAACTAGTTAGGAGCAAGCCTAAGCTAAGGCCAAGCTTTCATAATTAAAATAAGTCTCTGAGTCATTATTTGTGAGCTGGTGGTCCCAAAGAAAAATCTATCTACACATACATATACACACAGAGCCAGACATGATTTGATGAAGTCCCCATTCTTACCAACAGTGAGAAAAACATTACTAACAACAGTGAAGCTTGATTTCATGAGTTCATTTCATGAATGGTGAGCTCGGTCCTTCCACTAACCCTCTGACCTCAGTATGCCTTGCATTTCACAAATGAGGAGACCATGGCATGGGGACATTTGACAGTTTGTCCAAAGTCAACTACTAACAGCAGAGCTGTGGCTAGAACTCAGGTTCCCTGGCAGTCTGGACCTCCAGGACTTTCTGGTTTTTTCTAAGATGATTGCAAAGGGCCGGATCTGAGGCCCCCCTGGAAGCAGAGGTGGAGTGCTGAGGCCCCCTGGAAGCAGAGGTGGAGTGCTGATCTTGGGGGCATCTGTGTGGCTTCTCTCTCTCCCTCCTCTAGTCTGGAAGCCCATGGTCCTCGGCCCCAGTGCATCGTCATTTTGGAGGAGATCCAGGATGGACCGAGTGAAGTCTTTATACATGCCTGTCAATCAGACAGACTTTTCTGTGGCATCAACCTGCAGTATCATCCTTGAGTCACACTGACTAGTCTCAGGGAAGATGTGCTTATCACAGAGGGATCTGCAGCAGTGGGGAGATCCCCAAAGGAGCACCCCAGTTCTTGCTCACCTAAGATCAAGGACCCTGATTTATTAAGGTGCCAAGTCATAATGAAGTTTATTCTCCCCACGTCTATGTCCACTGTTGAAGTGGACTTCAGGACTGGCTTCCTCCAGCTCTGGTCTGGTCTCTCCCTGACGCTTTCCTTTCCCATCCCTAACTGTACTGGTTTCGTCCTCAGTCTGGCTCCCTCCATGGTGGCAGGTGTCCCAAGCCTCACACCCACGTGCCCAGGGAGCTGGAAAGTGCTGCTTTCCAGGTTCACTCTAAAGGGCAAGGAATCCTTTTCCCATCCCACTATCTTTAATTGGGCCAATCACTAGCACCAAGTCATTGGAGAGCTAATTATGAGGCCCAAGTTAATTTGTGCTTATGGGCTCAGGTCTGTATTCCTCAACCAGTTGCAGGGCTGAAGACTATGGAAACCGTTTGAGCCTTAGGGCTGGGCTGCTGGGCAAGCCTGGAGAAACGGGTAGATGCTGATAGAGCAAACCTTTGAACTTGGGGTAAAAAAAACAAAACAAAAACAAAACAAAAAAAAAAAACAAAAAAAAAACAGAGGAGGTGTGTCAGAAAGGAAACGGGCCCCAGAAAATGAAACCTGGCCTCTCAGAGTGGTTCTCTGGCTCAGGAAATGGGCAGCTAGTCAGGCTAGTGAGGCTGCATCCTGACTCCTCTGCGAGGTCCCCTGGCTGGCTTTGGAACTAAAGCCAGAGAGAGGGGTGTGGGTGTGGGAGACACAATGCAGGGGTGGGGGGTGGGGTGGCGAGGGGAGGGGAATCCCTGGCCTGCTTTTGATGTCTTGTTGTGTACACCAGTGCCATCCCTCTGCTGGGAGCACTTTCCTGAGGTTTCTTGGGCCTTAGAGAGAGTCTTGTGAACTTGGGGCTTTTGAACCTGTTATGGCTTGAATACGAAGGGTCCCCCTTCATATTTACAGGATTGTAGATTGAGGCTTGATCTTTAGCTGCTGAAGATATTTTGAGAGATTCTGGAACCTTTGGAAGGTGGCACTGAGTCCTTTGGGGTGTCTTATCCCTGGTCCTTTCTTCTCTCTGCTTCCTATCCACCATAAAGGAAACTGCTCTGATCCAGGACACACTTCTGCCACTATGACGTTCTGCCTCGTAACAGGCCCAGAAGTACGGAGCTAAGTGACAGAGACTGGACCTTCTGAAACCCTAAGTCAACGCAATTCCCCACCCCAACCCCCCAAAGCTGTTCTCCATCAGGCATTTTGGAACAATCATGTAAAGGTGACAAACACAATACTCATTCTGTGACTTTACGCTCTGTGACGTCTGAAGTCCCCTGCGTGACCTCCTCACATCTGAGGAAAGCAGCCCCAAGAGAATCAAGGACACTGTCACGGGAGAGAGGGGCTGGCACCGCTCACTCCGCCCATATGGGCACGGCAGCCTCACACAGCACCAGGATGAGCACTGAGGCCCTCCCACTAACAGCCCTGTGTGGGAAGGACGTGCCGCAAAGCTCTTCCAGACAGCAGCTGGCAGGGGGAGGGCCAGGCTGCCCTGTGTTCTCAGCGAGGCTCTCCATGACCATTCCAGATGTGCTTGCACATGGCAGCTGCACCCCTTGTCCAGCTGGGGACACAGAAATGGAAGAGTCTGTAGCGTAGCACACTGGGTTCCTCTGCTCCCTACACCGGACTGTCCAGGGTGCTGTGGCTTTCCAGTTTATGGACCAGCTGTCACTCACAGCCAGTCAGCAGCCCGAAGCCAGCATTCGGGGTCCACTTCCAACTTGACATCGAACAAATGAAGGTCTGGGGAGACGGCTCAGGAGTTAAGTGCCTTTGGGAAGCCAGCTTGAGAGCCCGAGTTCAAATCTCTGGCACTCACGTAAGAAAGGCTGGGTGTGGCTGCACTCAGGCCCGTAACCTCAGCGCCGGGATGGAGACAGGCTTCCCGGCTGACAGCCTCACTCTGGCTTTAGTGAGGGACTCTGTATTAGAGGAATAGCGTGGACAATGACGACATAGCAGGGCATCTGACAGCTTCCTCTGGCCTCTGTGTATGAGCCTGGACGTGTGGAACTCCATCCACACGGACGCACATGCTACACACACACACACACACACACACACACACACACACACACACATACACACACACATCGAACAAATGGGCCTTGTTTCTTCTTTCTTTAAGTGACCTCACCACCAAAGCGATCCTGTTGTGGTTTGGAAAAAGCAGCATTTCCTGGCCAGGCTCAGCCCAAAGTCAGCAAGTGCCGCTGGGCTCTGGCCGAGTGGCAGCCCAGAGCAGGGAGAGCCAGGCACAATGCTCATCCTGGGGGCTTTATCTCAGCAAGGCCTGTGACATCCTGCTATATAGGATTTGTGATATATATATGCAACCTTATAAAAACAGAGACCTCTAAGCCATAATCGATGAGTGAGGCTGAGCCCGACCACAGGCTGGCGCTGGGGGTGAGTGAGATATGAACAACTCACGTTTTTATTATCTGCAAGTTCTTCGCAGGGCCACTGAGGGCACAGGCCTGTCTGTACAGGAAGATATGGTACAATGTCTGACCTTGTTTGGGCTTAAAAGCCTCCAAGTAACTTGTCCCAGCACTTAGAGGTGCATCAAAGCCAAATGTCTCCAAAGACTGGGCCCCGAGCCACCAGGAGAGGAAAAGAGGCCATGGGCTTGGCAGGAGTGTGTCATCTGAGTGGAGGTTGGAACCAGGCCCTGGGGAGTGAAATTGCTCTGAGGTGAGGACAAAGGTTTTCCTATACCATACTGCAGCCCAGCCTCACTCAGCTCTATGGCTATGAGGCCATATACTGTGCTGAGCCCTAGAGAGTAAGGCATGGGTAGGAGGAAGAATTTGGGGCTAAGTTGGGCATATTCTATGATTACTTAGAAAGATTCTAGGAGCACCTCTTTGTCCCCCCACATTTGTAAAGTGAGGAAATAGGGCTCTGCATGGACACACTTTTTCTAAAGGCAAAACCTCGACCCCTACGGACAAAGGGTGCATCTGGCCCTTGGAGTCAGTGTGTGGGAACTGGAGAGTGGCACTCTCTCGGCTCATAGGATGGCTCAGCCTCCCTTCTGTCCTCCGTCCTCCAGTCTCAGAGGACCCAGAGGAGCCCTCGTGAACTTGTGAGTTCAGGGTTGAGGGGAGCCAGAGCCGGGCAGCACAGCGCAGAGCAGGTGCCCTGTCTCAGATCAAGCAGGCTTCACAGCACCTCCGAGCCTGCTAGCCTGACCGCCCCCCCTCCGAGCCTGCTAGCCTGACCCCGCCCCCTCCGAGCCTGCTAGCCTGACCCCGCCCCCTCCGAGCCTGCTAGCCTGACCCCGCCCCCTCCGAGCCTGCTAGCCTGACCCGAGGCTGTGCTGAAACAAACCTCTCCTTTGATTACAAAGGGAAATGGGACCTTCAAGTAGCTGTTACTTAGTAACTGCAGGTTTCCAAGGTAGATACAATCTCTCCAGCGTGTTTGGCCCTGGGGTGTAGACATCAAAGGGCCCTGGTGGAGCCCTTGGGTGGCCATTTGATTCCATCTCCTCTTCCCCAGTCATCACGGGTCTGTGGCTAGAAGCACCCTGCTCGCAGCCTCCCCACATCTGTGCTCGCAGCCTCCCCACATCTGTCCTTCTGCCACCAGAGATCCTAGCACAGCTGGGGTGGCCAGAGGCACGGCGTCTGGGTGGGGTGTGCATCCATACACACCTGCAGACTCGTTAGCCCCGATGGTGAGAGATTCATGAACCCCCGCCCCCACCCCTTGGCGAGGACACAGACGGTATGGCTGACAGGAACTGAGAGAAAGGCCGACTCCGGTCTGTCTAGGCTTCATCCACCCACACCCGGTGCATCCAACCATGCTGGGTCGTCTCTGTCCCCACAGGGCCACCTGGAGGGATCCAAACCTTTTCAGGGGCAGCATGCAACCCTGAGCTGGTATGGGGATACAGAAGGGGCATGCGGGGAGGAGGGGGTGCCAAGAGCAGCTTTAAGTTTGTGGATACATCCAGGGGTCTGGTTTGGGTCTATGGAGAAGTGGAGCTACTTCTTAGAGAATCTGAAGAACTCTGTCTCCTTCTCATCAGGAGGATCCTTCTTTGTAAGGCATTAATAACATCTGGCATTAGTAATCCCAGCACACTGAAGCCTCAGAGCAGCTGGGGAGCCCCAGAACCCGGGAAGGCCATGTGGGGACCCCTGGGAAGTTGACCACAGCTTCCAGAGGAAGGACCCAAATTCTCTCCACAAGCTTCTGGCCCATAGGCAGCAGCAGCATGAAGACAGCTTTTATACACACACACACACACACACACACACACACACACACACACACACACACACACACACCAGCAAGAAGGCAAGGAGGTGGCATCATTTCATATCTGCAAGAGTTGCTTCAAGTTGGGGACGCAGAGTCATCCCTGCGTCATCACCTATGATCATAGGTGCCCTGTGCCCTCTGAGGATACGGACTTCAAGTTCTTCAACCACAACCCGCCTAAGGGTGCTGAGGGCCGACATGGTGATGTCTGGTGGAGGATGAAGACTAAAATTTCAGGAGAACCTTCTCCAGAAGGAGTTATGTCCACCCCCTTGCCCTGTAAGGGGCACTGTCTATAATCATGTACATGTTTAATCTCCTTCGATGCCCATCTGCTAACAGCTGGGTCCCCAGAGTAGGGCTTTGGGGAGATAGTAGAACCTTTAAGAAGTAGGGCAGAGTAGGTCCTTGATCAGTGGGGACAAACCTTCGGAGAGGATTATAGGCCAACAGCTCCTTCCTATTCCTCACGTTTCCTGTCCACGAGGTGAGTAGTTTTGCTCCACCATGTGCTCCCACCATAGTGTGCTGCCTCGCCATAGGGCCAAAGCAACGAGGATAGCCAATCACAAATAAACATTTTTTCCCACTCTATAAGTAGGCCATTCAAGGTATTTTGTCATAGTAACAGAAGGCTGACTGTCATGCCGTGGGATCATGAGAGTGGAGGGCTAGATGCCGATGTTCACACTTCATTCACGTGACTAACTTTCTCATTTACTTGCTTCATCCGCTCATACATCTGATCTTTTGAGCTCACCAAGAGTGAGGTTTTCCTGTGGGGTGACCCCTTTCCAAAGGTCCTGTTTCTTGGAAGATCTCTAAATTCCCACTTGCCTTTGCTACATTCGGCTCAGTGTTGGCAGTTCCAGCCTGATTGGGTGTCCCCCTTGCCCTCTCAACAACCCCGCTCTGAAGATCTCTTTAATTTTTTAAAAGTCGTCTTCTTTTATGTGTATAGGTCTTTTGCCTGCATATATGTCTGTGCGTCACTTGCATGAAGTGCCCATAGAGACCAGAAGAGCGAATTGGATTCCTAGAACTGGAGTTAACAGTTGAGAGTTGCCGTGTGGGTGCTGAGAATTGAACCCGAGGCCTTGGCAAGAACAGCGGCTGCTCTTAACCGCAGAGGCGTCTCTCTGGTCCAGATTCTCTCCATTTCTTACCACATCTGGTCATACTTATCTTCTCTCAGTCCCAGAACATGTCCAGTATTTCCTCAGAGCTGCCCACCACTATTTCTCTGTCTGGAACATTCTTCCCTGTTCCTCTCCAATCCGACTGCTTTGCATCTTTCAGACTCCCTGGCCTCGTCTCCCCGCTCACCCCCCACCCCACCCCCCAACCCTGTCCTGGGAACTTGTATCCATGTGGTCTGCATTTGTTACAAGCTGTTTTTCCTTTGGAGACAGACCCCCAACTCTGTATTGCTCACTTGAAACCCCGAGTCCTTTGGTCAATGTGGGTGCCAATTATCTGTCCTCCCAAGAGTCCCCCAGGACTGCTAAGGACACAGCTCTGCTTGGTGGCCCAGCCCATGGGAAACCCTGGTTTCCCTCTGGCATTGGGACCATTTACCATTGCAACTTGGGCCTGTGAAGATGGTACACACAGATGTGTCGTGCCCCACCCATGGGCCTGGCAAGAAGAGGAGGTTGAGACCCTAGAGAGGGGTGGGTGCTATGCTTGGCCGCACCTCCTGGGGGTGCTGCCTTCCAACAGCTTCTCCCACCAGCCTGGTCTCACTTTGGGTCTCTCCACAAAGCTCACCCAGGTGCACTTTGCATCCCTATGACTTTGTGGCCAGTCATCATTTGACACTGATGGCGTCTGGAGTGAAATCTCCCTCCTTCCCTTGCTGATCTCTGCTCCTGCTGACATCCTGCCAATCTGTAAGCACTGTTTTGGTTTTTTTCTTTGTTGTTTCCATGCTGTGAAGTCTGCCTTGTTAACACCAGGTGCTGAAAAATGAAAACTTATCTCATCCATCAGCGTCATCAAAGCAAGGTGGGGTAGGATGGTTTCAACTCGTCCCGAGTGTCCTGAGGGCATCTGGCCTCCTGTCAACTGCTCTCCCCAGGGGCCACAACACTATACACCCAAGTCCTGTGCAGCTGCCCAGCCTCAGCCTCGGGGGCACAACACTATACACCCAGGTCCTGTGCCGCTGCCCGCCCAGCCTCAGCCTTGCTCAGTGAGGTCTCACATGATGTGCTCAGGCACAGGAAAGAACCAGCACTTGTCTGCTGAGGGTCTGTCTATCTTCCGTCTTGCCATTTGACTGTGAGGCACTAAGAATAGTATTTTTTTTCTGGTAGCAGAGTTTTAACCACCTAGAAAGCTTAATTAAGCTTTCCCACTGCATTCTTTTAATTGAATTAGTAGCAAGAGAGTATTTTTAGGACGGAGGTGATTATTTCATGTAACAGATACATGTCCGGATATTCTTAAACCTCTATATAGGCCAGAACAACCAGAGAGCAGACTCCGCGAGTCTGAAAGTTCACTGGCTTGCTTCGTAGACACGACATCACCATGACAGTTACTTATTCTATTCATTCATTATTTATGCCCTCAATTCTTTTTTCTTAAGCAGGACAGGGAGGACTTTTTTTAATGACCATGTAGCTGATTCTGCCCATCAGTGCCTGATAACCCCATCTCCACCTTCAAGTGCCAGGCGGGAATCCAGGTGTTCACCCTAGCACTCACCTTTGGGAAGAGAATATTTTTTTTTTAAATGTCATACACAGTGGTGGGCACTCGCTGGTTTTAAGTTCCCTTTGAGTTGCTGGTCTGATCGGGGCTCCTTCCTAGACATCAGTTGCGTTTGGGATTCTTCTTGTGTTCAGAGGAGCCGGGATATCACTTGGTAGAGACTTTGTGTATAGTGCACTGCTTTGAAAAGTAGAAGTAACATAAGAAAATTCTGCTAGGAGGAAGCTGCAGGTTCAAGAAACAAGCAGCCACATAGCTTAAGCCTGGGAGTGGGCATTGTCACACCAGCCACAGTGATAAATTCAAGGCTGAAGTACCAAATGGTGTGTTTGCAAAAAGAAAACTCTGGTGAAAAACATCACATGAAATGTTCCAAGTAAAACTCCTAGGTTTTCCTGGAAGGGCCTTTCTGCACAAGAGGGATGAAAATTATTTCAATATTGGCAATGGGGCCAATGCAGTATGCAGACTCTGGCCACCACTCCAGGTCAAAGCTACCCAACTGTTGATGCACAACACTGGATACATCCAGCAAAAGCAGAGGACGGGATCTATGGAGATGATCTGTATTCGCACGCAGCGGACTTGGCAGAGGGACTCCAGAGGGATCCTGAGAGGAACCCAAGGGTGAGGTGGGGTGGGGTGGGTGGGGCGGGATGAGTTCTATTTGTGGAATTTTCCACCTCCTCTGAGCTAGGTGTGCCAATTGAGATACATCAGTGAGATCCAGGGGAAGATACAGGACAGGGCAAGAGTGTCCCAAAGGAAAGTGGCGTGTGAAGAAAACTCTTGAAGGTGGCCACAGGCACATGTGGAAGTCAAGTTATTTCTTGCTTTCTTTTGATATTGGTGCTATCAGATAATTCTGCTCTTTAATCTCACATTTCCATGCTTGTCTTTCGAGTTTCAATGTTTCTGTCAAATATGGCAGATCCAGGGGATTTTTGTAGAGACTCATACATTATTTCTTCTGCAGTAGTGTACAGTGTCTTGATTTGGGCTCGCTTTATTGACCTGCAAACCCACCAATATCCACTTAACTTCTTACAGAGAAGGCCGAGGTGGGTTCACTTAGAGTCCAAACATTGGCTCCCTGTCCTTGTTCAAAGCACCAACATCATCACCATCACCATCACGAGTCTGGAGATCGTTTAGGGCAACCT